CAAACATTGCTTACATGACTCAAAAATGATAGTTGATCGTCAAAGGTAACCCCTAAGAGCGTTATCTCTGGTTTCTGATCAATTACAGTGTCATTGATAACAATGTGTAAATCCTTATGACAGTTCCTCGGGCCCAGACTCATCACCTGATACTTTGAAAAATTTCCTTGTAAAAAGTTGTTGTTGTACCACTCAGAGATGATGTTTCATTCCTCAGTTAAAATGCTTTCCGCTTCGTTAGTTGCCTTCGCCACTAAAAACAGTTGGTGGTCACCCGCTACGTAAATAACCTGTTTTCATCAGTGGAGAGGTGTAGATCGTTGTGGAAAACACTCCAAAGAAGAGGCCCGAAGGCCGATCCCTTTCCTTTTGTGTATTCTAAAATCAACTAATTACAGGAACACCAAGAGATTGTTTTTGTTTTTGTTTTTTTTAATAAAAACGATAGATCTTACGTAGTACCGGAAGTAAAGCTAAGTTGCCGCCCTCTCTTTACAGGTCAGTTGTCAGAGTCCCAAAAATGTACTTATATAATCAGTTTAATACTACAAACCAGATTTTAGTTGAGTTATTACGTCTCTCACCGTTTTGTCGCCCCAAGCAGAGATTTTGTATCGTTTTCGTACTCTATTAAACCCTGCTGAAACTGTTTAAAGGAAAGAATGAGCAGCTTCACTTTCATGAAGAGTGTACATAAGAACATCGGTATGATAGGTAACTTTGTTGGAGGGACAATAAGGGGATGGTGTCCCTAATTTACTCCAAAGTATCCTTGAACAAGCACTTGTTAGGCCATTTATTTTTGTTCAAGCTTTTTGCAGCTCTCTCTACCGGCAACGCGTTTTTTTGTCTTTAGGCGTTGACAAAACGGACGGTTTCTTCCACATATAATTTAAATCTCTTCTCAGCAAACGCCTATAAAGTTACAACACGTTCGTAAGGGATCGATGCTCATTTCCCAGGAGGCGGTTTCTTAATAGACGTTTAACTGGAAAAGCCTTTATGTTATAGCATGTTTCTCATATGCACGTGCACATATCACGTGTGTACAGTATCCCCCTACATCAGGCAACTACGATTAGCCATGTCCTTGATAACCGTATCCAACCCGTAGTTCTTTAGAAAGTCTTGTCAGGAATGAAATATGTATGCCTGTCATTACAAAGTTAACTTGTTTTCACCTTTTCTTTAAGAACCTGATGGTGCTCCACAAAATGTGAGAGGACAGAACAGCAGCTCAACCAGCACCTTAGTCATGTGGAATGAAGTTCCAGCTGATAAACAGAATGGTATCATAACCGGTTACACCATTACTTACCACTCACAAACAGAGAATGACAATGGAAGTGTTTTGGTTGGTGCCAATTATCGTCAAAAGAATTTGACAGAACTAAAGGAGTACGTCAACTACAACATAGCAGTGTTTGCATCTACCGTAAAAGGAAATGGACCAGCCAATGACCCTTTTATTGTTGTTAGAACGGACCAGAGTCGTAAGTAGATTTTCTTTTCAATTAACATTCGTTCCATTTTGTTAAATATATTCTGTCCTTGGAACTCCCATATGTGAAAAGTACCTTTTCATGCTTTTATGAGATGTATTAGCTTGCCATACCAAAGTTACTATAGTGCTTGTTCAATGCTGCTGAGACACGTGAAGGCCTAGTGGTTAGGAGAGTGACAGTCCTGATCAATTAATATTAGTTTTAGCACTGGTCGAGCGATCGCGTTGTGTTTCTAGAGAAGAAGGTTCTATTTTAATGCTTCTCTCCACTCAAGAAGTATTGAAAATTAATCATCTTTGAGTTCAGTCTTCTAAACTGCTGGGGGATTACCTCCAATGTTACAAAAACTGGAATTAGCGGGCAATGTGGGCCATTACACCTTACGCCTTACCATTTTAAGGCTGTAAGAGATGTTTAACGTTATAAATTTTACGGAAAAGGTTACTTACCAAGAAATTACACGAGCCTGCTGCTTTCTGTAGCTCGCATTTTGAACGTCGACAATTTGCAAAAGCTTTTCCCAGCAATTTTAGTGGCTCATACCTTATACACCATTACACACTCATTGAAAGTTACACTAATCTTATCCAATCCTGTTACTTTAATAATTATGTCTCAGATTATCAATTTTCTTTGACTAGTTATACTGTAGGTAGATATAGTCTCACGCGTTTCATGCTACATGTATCTCAAGAAAAAGACGTTGTAAAAGCTTAATGACTCTTATCTTTCGGTAAAGATAATGTGGTTAAGGTTACAGTATACCTTCAGGGGTGTCTCGCGCGCAAGCGATGTAGCGCGTGCAGTTTAAGCTG